CAACAAGCCAAACTCATCAAAAGAACACTAAAACAACGGCTTAACACAAGGGATTACTAATTCAACAAATTCATGCCATTACACATGCTAAAAAACGTTCAAACTCGCCAAAACGAACAATGTTCATAACAACAAGCCAAAATCATCAAAAGAACACTAAAACAACAGCTTAACGCATTCATGCCATTACACATGCTCAAAAACGTTCAAACTCGCCAAAACAAACACTTTTCATAACAACAAGTCAAACTCATCAAAAGAACACTTAAACAACAGCTTAACACAAGGGATTACTAATTCAAAACATTCATGCCATTACACATGCTCAAAAACGTTCAAACTCGACAAAACAAACACTTTTCATAACAACAAGCCAAACTCATCAAAAGAACACTAAAACAACGGCTTAACACAAGGGATTACTAATTCAACACATTCATACCATTACACATGCTAAAAAACCTTCAAACTGGCCAAAACGAACAATGTTCATAACAACAAGCCAAACTCATCAAAAGAACACTAAAACAACAGCTTAACGCATTCATGCCATTACACATGCTCAAAAACGTTCAAACTCGCCCAGACAAACACTTTTCATAACAACAAGCCAAACTCATCAAAAGAACACTAAAACAACGGCTTAACACAAGGGATTACTAATTCAACACATTCATACCATTACACATGCTAAAAAACCTTCAAAGTGGCCAAAACGAACAATGTTCATAACAACAAGCCAAACTCATCAAAAGACCACTAAAACAACAGCTTAACGCATTCATGGCATAACACATGCTCAAAAACGTTCAAACTCGCCAAAACAAACACTTTTCATAACAACAAGCCAAACTCATCAAAAGAACACTAAAACAACAGCTTAATGCATTCATGCCATTACATATGCTCAAAAACCTTCAAACTGGCCAAAACAAACACTTTTCATAACAACAAGCCAAACTCATCAAAAGAACACTAAAACAACGGCTTAACACAAGGGATTACTAATTCAACACATTCATGCCATTACACATGCTAAAATACCTTCAAACTCGCCAAAACAAACACTTTTCATAACAACAAGCCAAACTCATCAAAAGAACACTAAAACAACAGCTTAACGCATTCATGCCATTACACATGCTCAAAAATGTTCAAACTCGCCAAAACCCACACTTTTCATAACAACAAGCCAAACTCATCAAAAGAACACTAAAACAACGGCTTAACACAAGGGATTACTAATAGAACACATTCATGCCATTACACATGCTCAAAAACCTTCAAACTGGCCAAAACGAACAATGTTCATAACAAAAAGCCAAACTCATCAAAAGAACACTAAAACAACAGCTTAATGCATTCATGCCATTACACATGCTCAAAAACGGTCAAACTCGCCAAAACAAACACTTGTCATAACAACAGGCCAAACTCATCAAAAGAACACTAAAACAACAGCTTAACACAAGGGATTACTAATTCAACACATTCATGCCATTACACATGCTAAAAAACCTTCAAAGTGGCCAAAACGAACAATGTTCATAACAACAAGCCAAACTCATCAAAAGACCACTAAAACAACAGCTTAACGCATTCATGGCATAACACATGCTCAAAAACGTTCAAACTCGCCAAAACAAACACTTTTCATAACAACAAGCCAAACTCATCAAAAGAACACTAAAACAACGGCTTAACACAAGGGATTACTAATTCAACACATTCATGCCATTACACATGCTAAATAACCTTCAAACTGGCCAAAACGAACAATGTTCATAACAACAAGCCAAACTCATCAAAAGAACACTAAAACAACAGCTTAACGCATTCATGCCATTACACATGCTCAAAAACGTTCAAACTCGCCAAAACAAACACTTTTCATAACAAGAAGCCAAACTCATCAAAAGAACACTAAAACAACGGCTTAACACAAGGGATTACTAATTCAACACATTCATACCATTACACATGCTAAAAAACCTTCAAACTGGCCAAAACGAACAATGTTCATAACAACAAGCCAAACTCATCAAAAGAACACTAAAACAACAGCTTAACGCATTCATGCCATTACACATGATCAAAAACGTTCAAACTCGCCAAAACAAACACTTTTCATGACAACAAGCCAAACTCATCAAAAGAACACTAAAACAACAGCTTAAAACAAGGGATTACTAATTCAACACATTCATGCCATTACACATGCTAAAAAACCTTCAAAGTGGCCAAAACGAACAATGTTCATAACAACAAGCCAAACTCATCAAAAGACCACTAAAACAACAGCTTAACGCATTCATGGCATAACACATGCTCAAAAACGTTCAAACTCGCCAAAACAAACACTTTTCATAACAACAAGCCAAACTCATCAAAAGAACACTAAAACAACGGCTTAACACAAGGGATTACTAATTCAACACATTCATGCCATTACACATGCTAAATAACCTTCAAACTGGCCAAAACGAACAATGTTCATAACAACAAGCCAAACTCATCAAAAGAACACTAAAACAACAGCTTAACGCATTCATGCCATTACACATGCTCAAAAACGTTCAAACTCGCCAAAACAAACACTTTTCATAACAAGAAGCCAAACTCATCAAAAGAACACTAAAACAACGGCTTAACACAAGGGATTACTAATTCAACACATTCATACCATTACACATGCTAAAAAACCTTCAAACTGGCCAAAACGAACAATGTTCATAACAACAAGCCAAACTCATCAAAAGAACACTAAAACAACAGCTTAACGCATTCATGCCATTACACATGATCAAAAACGTTCAAACTCGCCAAAACAAACACTTTTCATGACAACAAGCCAAACTCATCAAAAGAACACTTAAACATCAGCTTAACGCATTCATGCCATTACACATGCTCAAAAACGTTCAAACTCGCCAAAACAAACACTTTTCATAACAACAAGTCAAACTCATCAAAAGAACACTAAAACAACAGCTTAACACAAGGGATTACTAATTCAAAACATTCATGCCATTACACATGCTCAAAAACGTTCAAACTCGACAAAACAAACACTTTTCATAACAACAAGCCAAACTCATCAAAAGAACACTAAAACAACGGCTTAACACAAGGGATTACTAATTCAACACATTCATACCATTACACATGCTCAAAAACGTTCAAACTCGACAAAACAAACACTTTTCATAACAACAAGCCAAACTCATCAAAAGAACACTAAAACAACGGCTTAACACAAGGGATTACTAATTCAACACATTCATACCATTACACATGCTAAAAAACCTTCAAACTGGCCAAAACGAACAATGTTCATAACAACAAGCCAAACTCATCAAAAGAACACTAAAACAACAGCTTAACGCATTCATGCCATTACACATGCTCAAAAACGTTCAAACTCGCCCAGACAAACACTTTTCATAACAACAAGCCAAACTCATCAAAAGAACACTAAAACAACGGCTTAACACAAGGGATTACTAATTCAACACATTCATACCATTACACATGCTAAAAAACCTTCGAACTGGCCAAAACGAACAATGTTCATAACAACAAGCCAAACTCATCAAAAGAACACTAAAACAACAGCTTAACGCATTCATGCCATTACATATGGTCAAAAACGATCAAATTCGCTAAAACAAACACTTTTCATAACAACAAGCCAAACTTATCAAAAGAACACTAAAACAACGGCTTAACACAAGGGATTACTAATTCAACACATTTATGCCATTACACATGCTAAAATACCTTCAAACTCGCCAAAACAAACACTTTTCATAACAACAAGCCAAACTCATCAAAAGAACACTAAAACAACAGCTTAACACATGGGATTACTAATTCAAAACATTCATGCCATTACACATGCTCAAAAACGTTCAAACTCGACAAAACAAACACTTTTCATAACAACAAGCCAAACTCATCAAAAGAACACTAAAACAACAGCTTAACACAAGGGATTACTAATTCAAAACATTCATGCCATTACACATGCTCAAAAACGTTCAAACTCGACAAAACAAACACTTTTCATAACAAAAAGCCAAACTCATCAAAAGAACACTAAAACAACAGCTTAACGCATTCATGCCATTACATATGGTCAAAAACGATCAAATTCGCTAAAACAAACACTTTTCATAACAACAAGCCAAACTTATCAAAAGAACACTAAAACAACGGCTTAACACAAGGGATTACTAATTCAACACATTCATAACATTACCCATGCCAAAAAACCTTCAAACTGGCCAAAACGAACAATGTTCATAACAACAAGCCAAACTCATCAAAAGAACACTAAAACAACAGCTTAACGCATTCATGCCATTACACATGCTCAAAAACGTTCAAACTCGCCAAAACAAACACTTTTCATGACAACAAGCCAAACTCATCAAAAGAACACTAAAACAACAGCTTAACGTATTCATGCCATTACACATGCTCAAAAACGTTCAAACTCGCCAAAACGAACAATGTTCATAACAACAAGCCAAACTCATCATAAGAACACTAGAACAACAGATTAACGAATTCATGCCATTACACATGCTCAAAAACGTTCAAACTCGCAAAAACAAACACTTTTCATAACAACAAGCCAAACTCATCAAAAGAACACTAAAACAACAGCTTAACGCATTCATGCCATTACACATGCTCAAAAACGTTCAAACTCGCCAAAACAAACACTTTTCATAACAACAAGCCAAACTCATCAAAAGAACACTAAAACAACAGCTTAACGCATTCATGCCATTACACATGCTCAAAAACGTTCAAACTCGCCAAAACAAACACTTTTCATAACAACAAGCCAAACTCATCAAAAGAACACTAAAACAACAGCTTAACGCATTCATGCCATTACACATGCTCAAAAACGTTCAAACTCGCCAAAACAAACACTTTTCATAACAACAAGCCAAACTCATCAAAAGAACACTAAAACAACAGCTTAACACAAGGGATTACTATTTCAACACATTCATGCCATTACACATGCTAAAACACGTTCAAACTGGCCAAAACGAACAATGTTCATAACAACAAGCCAAACTCATCAAAAGAACACTAAAACAACAGCTTAACGCATTCATGCCATTACACATGATCAAAAACGTTCAAACTCGCCAAAACAAACACTTTTCATGACAACAAGCCAAACTCATCAAAAGAACACTAAAACAACGGCTTAACACAAGGGATTACTAATTCAACACATTCATGCCATTACACATGCTAAAAACCTTCAAACTGGCTAAAACGAACAATGTTCATAACAACAAGCCAAACTCATCATAAGAACACTAAAACAACAGCTTAACGAATTCGTGCCATTACACATGCTCAAAAACGTTCAAACTCGCCAAAACGAACAATGTTCATAACAACAAGCCAAACTCATCAAAAGAACACTAAAACAACAGCTTAACACAAGGGATTACTAATTCAACACATTCATGCCATTACACATGCTCAAAAACCTTCAAACTGGCCAAAACGAACACTTTTCATAACAACAAGCCAAACTCATCAAAAGAACACTAAAACAACATCTTTACACAAGGGATTACCTATTCAACACATTCATGCCATTACACATGCTAAAAAACCTTCAAACTGGCCAAAACGAACAATGTTCATAACAACAAGCCAAACTCATCAAAAGAACACTAAAACAACAGCTTAACGCATTCATGCCATTACACATGCTCAAAAACTTTCAAACTCGCCAAAACCAACACTTTTCATAACAACAAGCCAAACTCATCAAAAGAACACTAAAACAACAGCTTAACACAAGGGATTACTAATTCAAAACATTCATGCCATTACACGTGCTAAAAAACGTTCAAACTCGACAAAACAAACACTTTTCATAACAAAAAGCCAAACTCATCAAAAGAACACTAAAACAACAGCTTAACGCATTCATGCCATTACATATGGTCAAAACCGATCAAATTCGCTAAAACAAACACTTTTCATAACAACAAGCCAAACTTATCAAAAGAACACTAAAACAACGGCTTAACACAAGGGATTACTAATTCAACACATTCATAACATTACCCATGCCAAAAAACCTTCAAACTGGCCAAAACGAACAATGTTCATAACAACAAGCCAAACTCATCAAAAGAACACTAAAACAACAGCTTAACGCATTCATGCCAATACACATGCTCAAAAACGTTCAAACTCGCCAAAACAAACACTTTTCATGACAACAAGCCAAACTCATCAAAAGAACACTAAAACAACAGCTTAACGTATTCATGCCATTACACATGCTAAAAAACGTTCAAACTCGCCAAAACGAACAATGTTCATAACAACAAGCCAAACTCATCATAAGAACACTAGAACAACAGATTAACGAATTCATGCCATTACACATGCTCAAAAACGTTCAAACTCGCAAAAACAAACACTTTTCATAACAACAAGCCAAACTCATCAAAAGAACACTAAAACAACAGCTTAACGCATTCATGCCATTACACATGCTCAAAAACGTTCAAACTCGCCAAAACAAACACTTTTCATAACAACAAGCCAAACTCATCAAAAGAACACTAAAACAACAGCTTAACGCATTCATGCCATTACACATGCTCAAAAACGTTCAAACTCGCCAAAACAAACACTTTTCATAACAACAAGCCAAACTCATCAAAAGAACACTAAAACAACAGCTTAACGCATTCATGCCATTACACATGCTCAAAAACGTTCAAACTCGCCAAAACAAACACTTTTCATAACAACAAGCCAAACTCATCAAAAGAACACTAAAACAACAACACAGGGATTACTAATTCAACACATTCATGCCATTACACATGCTCAAAAACCTTCAAACTGGCCAAAACGAACAATGTTCATAACAACAAGCCAAACTCATCAAAAGAACACTAAAACAACAGCTTAACGCATTCATGCCATTACACATGATCAAAAACGTTCAAACTCGCCAAAACAAACACTTTTCATGACAACAAGCCAAACTCATCAAAAGAACACTAAAACAACGGCTTAACACAAGGGATTACTAATTCAACACATTCATGCCATTACACATGCTAAAAACCTTCAAACTGGCTAAAACGAACAATGTTCATAACAACAAGCCAAACTCATCATAAGAACACTAAAACAACAGCTTAACGAATTCGTGCCATTACACATGCTCAAAAACGTTCAAACTCGCCAAAACAAACACTTTTCATAACAACAAGCCAAACTCATCAAAAGAACACTAAAACAACAGCTTAACACAAGGGATTACTAATTCAACACATTCATGCCATTACACATGCTAAAACACGTTCAAACTGGCCAACACGAACAATGTTCATAACAACAAGCCAAACTCATCAAAAGAACACTAAAACAACAGCTTAACGCATTCATGCCATTACACATGATCAAAAACGTTCAAACTCGCCAAAACAAACACTTTTCATGACAACAAGCCAAACTCATCAAAAGAACACTTAAACATCATCTTAACGCATTCATGCCATTACACATGCTCAAAAACGTTCAAACTCGCCAAAACAAACACTTTTCATAACAACAAGCCAAACTCATCAAAAGAACACTAAAACAACGGCTTAACACAAGGGATTACTAATTCAACACATTCATTCCATTACACATGCTAAAAAACATTCAAACTGGCAAAAACGAACAATGTTCATAACAACAAGCCAAACTCATCAAAAGAACACTAAAACAACAGCTTAACGCATTCATGCCATTACACATGCTTAAAAACGATCAAACTCGCCAAAACAAACACTTTTCATAACAACAAGCCAAACTCATCAAAAGAACACTAAAACAACGGCTTATCACAAGGGATTACTAATTCAACACATTCATACCATTACACATGCTAAAAAACCTTCAAACTGGCCAAAACGAACAATGTTCATAACAACAAGCCAAACTCATCAAAAGAACACTAAAACAACAGCTTAACGCATTCATGCCATTACACATGCTTAAAAACGATCAAACTCGCCAAAACAAACACTTTTCATAACAACAAGCCAAACTCATCAAAAGAACACTAAAACAACGGCTTATCACAAGGGATTACTAATTCAACACATTCATAACATTACCCATGCTAAAAAACCTTCAAACTGGCCAAAACGAACAATGTTCATAACAACAAGCCAAACTCATCAAAAGAACACTAAAACAACAGCTTAACGCATTCATGCCATTACACATGCTCAAAAACGTTCAAACTCGCCAAAACAAACACTTTTCATAACAACAAGCCAAACTCATCAAAAGAACACTAAAACAACGGCTTAACACAAGGGATTACTAATTCAACACATTTATGCCATTACACATGCTAAAATACCTTCAAAATCGCCAAAACAAACACTTTTCGTAACAACAAGCCAAAATCATCAAAAGAACACTAAAACAACAGCTTGACGCATTCACGCCATTACACATGCTCAAAAACGTTCAAAGTCGCCAAAAAAAACACTTTTCATAACAACAAGCCAAACTCATCAAAAGAACACTAAAACAACAGCTTAAACCATTCATGCCATTACACATGCTCAAAAACGTTCAAACTCGCCAAAACAACCACTTTTCATAACAACAAGCCAAACTCATCAAAAGAACACTAAAACAACAGCTTGACGCATTCATGCCATTACACATGCTAAAAAACCTTCAAATTGGCCAAAACGAAAGATGTTCATAACAACAAGCCAAACTCATCAAAAGAACACTAAAACAACAGCTTAACGCATTCATGCCATTACACATGCTCAAAAACGTTCAAACTCGCCAAAACCAACACTTTTCATAACAACAAGCCAAACTCATCAAAAGAACACTAAAACAACGGCTTATCACAAGGGATTACTAATTAAACACATTCATGCCATTACACATGCTCAAAAACGTTCAAACTCGCCAAAACAAACACTTTTCATAACAACAAGCCAAACTCATCAAAAGAACACTAAAACAACAGCTTAACACAAGGGATTACTAATTCAAAACATTCATGCCATTACACGTGCTAAAAAACCTTCAAACTGGCCAAAACGAACAATGTTCATAACAACAAGCCAAACTCATCAAAAGAACACTAAAACAACAGCTTAACGCATTCATGCCATTACACATGCTCAAAAACTTTCAAACTCGCCAAAACCAACACTTTTCATAACAACAAGCCAAACTCATCAAAAGAACACTAAAACAACGGCTTAACACAAGGGATTACTAATTAAACACATTCATGCCATTACACATGCTCAAAAACGTTCAAACTCGCCAAAACAAACACTTTTCATAACAACAAGCCAAACTCATCAAAAGAACACTAAAACAATAGCTTAACACAAGGGATTACTAATTCAAAACATTCATGCCATTACACGTGCTAAAAAACCTTCAAACTGGCCAAAACGAACAATGTTCATAACAACAAGCCAAACTCATCAAAAGAACACTAAAACAACAGCTTAACGCATTCATGCCATTACACATGCTCAAAAACGTTCAAACTCGCCCAAACAAACACTTTTCATAACAACAAGCCAAACTCATCAAAAGAACACTAAAACAACAGCTTAACGCATTCATGCCATTACACATGCTCAAAAACGTTCAAACTCGCCAAAACAAACACTTTTCATAACAACAAGCCAAACTCATCAAAAGAACACTAAAACAACAGCTTAACGCATTCATGCCATTACACATGCTCAAAAACGTTCAAACACGCCAAAACAAACACTTTTCATAACAACAAGCCAAACTCATCAAAAGAACACTAAAACAACAGCTTAACACAAGGGATTACTAATTCAAAACATTCATGCCATTACACGTGCTAAAAAACCTTCAAACTGGCCAAAACGAACAATGTTCATAACAACAAGTCAAACTCATCAAAAGAACACTAAAACAACAGCTTAACGCATTCATGCCATTACACATGCTCTAAAACGTTCAAACTCGCCAAAACAAACACTTTTCATAACAACAAGTCAAACTCATCAAAAGAACACTAAAACAACAGCTTAACACAAGGGATTACTAATTCAAAACATTCATGCCATTACACATGATCAAAAACGTTCAAACTCGACAAAACAAACACTTTTCATAACAACAAGCCAAACTCATCAAAAGAACACTAAAACAACGGCTTAACACAAGGGATTACTAATTCAACACATTCATACCATTACACATGCTAAAAAACCTTCAAACTGGCCAAAACGAACAATGTTCATAACAACAAGCCAAACTCATCAAAAGAACACTAAAACAACAGCTTTTAACGCATTCATGCCATTACACATGCTCAAAAATGTTAAAACTCGCCAAAACCCACACTTTTCATAACAACAAGCCAAACTCATTAAAAGAACACTAAAACAACGGCTTAACACAACAGATTACTAATTCAACACATTCATACCATTACACATGCTTAAAAACCTTCAAACTGGCCAAAACGAACAATGTTCATAACAACAAGCCAAACTCATCAAAAGAACACTTAAACAACAGCTTAACGCATTCATGCCATTACACATGCTCAAAAACGTTCAAATTCGCCAAAACAAACACTTTTCATAACAACAAGCCAAACTCATCAAAAGAACACTAAAACAACGGCTTAACACAAGGGAATACTAATTCAACACATTCATGCCATTACACATGCTCAAAAACGTTCAAACTCGCCAAAACAAACACTTTTCATAACAACAAGCCAAACTCATCAAAAGAACACTAAAACAACAGCTTAACGCATTCGTGCCATTACACATGCTCAAAAACGTTCAAACTGGCCAAAACAAACACTTTTCATAACAACAAGCCAAACTCATCAAAAGGAAACTAAAACAACAGCTTAACACAAGGGATTACTAATTCAACACATTCATGCCATTACACATGCTAAAACACGTTCAAACTGGCCAAAACGAACAATGTTCATAACAACAAGCCAAACTCATCAAAAGAACACTAAAACAACAGCTTAACGCATTCATGCCATTACACATGATCAAAAACGTTCAAACTCGCCAAAACAAACACTTTTCATGACAACAAGCCAAACTCATCAAAAGAACACTTAAACATCATCTTAACGCATTCATGCCATTACACATGCTCAAAAACGTTCAAACTCGCCAAAACAAACACTTTTCATAACAACAAGCCAAACTCATCAAAAGAACACTAAAACAACGGCTTAACACAAGGGATTACTAATTCAACACATTCATTCCATTACACATGCTAAAAAACATTCAAACTGGCAAAAACGAACAATGTTCATAACAACAAGCCAAACTCATCAAAAGAACACTAAAACAACAGCTTAACGCATTCATGCCATTACACATGCTTAAAAACGATCAAACTCGCCAAAACAAACACTTTTCATAACAACAAGCCAAACTCATCAAAAGAACACTAAAACAACGGCTTATCACAAGGGATTACTAATTCAACACATTCATAACATTACCCATGCTAAAAAACCTTCAAACTGGCCAAAACGAACAATGTTCATAACAACAAGCCAAACTCATCAAAAGAACACTAAAACAACAGCTTAACGCATTCATGCCATTACACATGCTTAAAAACGATCAAACTCGCCAAAACAAACACTTTTCATAACAACAAGCCAAACTCATCAAAAGAACACTAAAACAACGGCTTATCACAAGGGATTACTAATTCAACACATTCATAACATTACCCATGCTAAAAAACCTTCAAACTGGCCAAAACGAACAATGTTCATAACAACAAGCCAAACTCATCAAAAGAACACTAAAACAACAGCTTAACGCATTCATGCCATTACACATGCTCAAAAACGTTCAAACTCGCCAAAACAAACACTTTTCATAACAACAAGCCAAACTCATCAAAAGAACACTAAAACAACGGCTTAACACAAGGGATTACTAATTCAACACATTTATGCCATTACACATGCTAAAATACCTTCAAAATCGCCAAAACAAACACTTTTCATAACAACAAGCCAAACTCATCAAAAGAACACTAAAACAACAGCTTGACGCATTCACGCCATTACACATGCTCAAAAACGTTCAAACTCGCCAAAACAAACACTTTTCATGACAACAAGCCAAACTCATCAAAAGAACACTAAAACAACAGCTTAACGTATTCATGCCATTACACATGCTCAAAAACGTTCAAACTGGCCAAAACGAACAATGTTCATAACAACAAGCCAAACTCATCAAAAGTACACTAAAACAACATCTTAACACAAGGGATTACTAATTCAACAAATTCATGCCATTAACATTCTCAAAAACCTTCAAACTCGCCAAAAAAAACACTTTTCATAACAACAAGCCAAACTCATCAAAAGAACACTAAAACAACAGCTTAAACCATTCATGCCATTACACATGCTCAAAAACGTTCAAACTCGCCAAAACAACCACTTTTCATAACAACAAGCCAAACTCATCAAAAGAACACTAAAACAACAGCTTAACGCATTAATGCCATTAAACATGCTCAAAAACATTCAAACTCGCCAAAACAAACACTTTTCATAACAACAAGCCAAACTCATCAAAAGAACACTAAAACAACAGCTTGACGCATTCATGCCATTACACATGCTAAAAAACCTTCAAATTGGCCAAAACGAAAGATGTTCATAACAACAAGCCAAACTCATCATAAGAACACTAAAACAACAGCTTAACGCAGTCATGCCATTACACATGCTCAAAAACGTTCAAACTCGCCAAAACAAACACTTTTCATAAGAACGAGCCAAACTCATCAAAAGAACACTAAAACAACGGCTTAACACAAGGGATTACTAATTCAACACATTCATGCCATTACACATGTTAAAAAACCTTCAAACTGGCCAAAACGAACAATGTTCATAACAACAAGCCAACCTCATCATAAGAACACTAAAACAACAGCTTAATGCATTAGTGCCATTACACATGCTCAAAAACGTTCAAACTCGCCAAAACAAACACTTTTCATAACAACAAGCCAAACTCATCAAAAGAACACCAAAACAACAGCTTAACACAAGGGATTACTAATTCAACACTTTCATTCCATTACACATGCTCAAAAACCTTCAAACTGGCCAAAACGAACAATGTTCATAACAACAAGCCAAACTCATCATAAGAACACTAGAACAACAGATTAACGAATTCATGCCATTACACATGCTCAAAAACGTTCAAACTCGCAAAAACAAACACTTTTCATAACAACAAGCCAAACTCATCAAAAGAACACTAAAAACAACAGCTTAACACAAGGGATTACTAATTCAACACATTCATGCCATTACATATGCTCAAAAACCTTCAAACTGGCCAAAACGAACAATGTTCATAACAACAAGCCAAACTCACCATAAGAACACTAAAACAGCAGCTTAACGCATTCATGCCATTACACATGCTAAAAACCTTCAAACTGGCCAAAACGAACAATGTTCATAACAACAAGCTAAACTCATCATAAGAACACTAAAACAACAGCTTAACGAATTCGTGCCACTACACATGCTCAAAAACGTTCAAACTCGCCAAAACAAACACTGTTCATAACAACAAGCCAAACTCATCAAAAGAACACTAAAACAACAGCTTAACACAAGGGATTTCGAATTCAACACATTCATGCCATTACACATGCTCAAAAACGTTCAAAATCGCCAAAACAAACACTTTTCATAACAACAAGCCAAACTCATCAAAAGAACACTAAAACAACAGCTTGACGCATTCATGCCATTACACATGCTCAAAAACGTTCAAACTCGCCAAAACAAACACTTTTAATGACAACAAGCCAAACTCATCAAAAGAACACTAAAACAACAGCTTAACGTATTCATGCCATTACACATGCTCAAAAAAGTTCAAACTTGCCAAAACAAACAGTTTTCATAACAATAAGCCAAACTCATCAAAAGAACACTAAAACAACGGTTTAAAACATGGGGATACTATTTCAACACATTCATGCCATTACACATGCTAAAACACGTTCAAACTGGCCAAAACGAACAATGTTCATAACAACAAGCCAAATTCATCAAAAGAACACTAAAACAACAGCTTAACGCATTCATGCCATTACACATGATCAAAAACGTTCAAACTCGCCAAAACAAACACTTTTCATGACAACAAGCCAAACTCATCAAAAGAACACTAAAACAACGGCTTAACACAAGGGATTACTAATTCAACACATTCATGCCATTACACATGCTAAAAACCTTCAAACTGGCTAAAACGAACAATGTTCATAACAACAAGCCAAACTCATCATAAGAACACTAAAACAACAGCTTAACGAATTCGTGCCATTACACATGCTCAAAAACGTTCAAACTCGCCAAAACGAACAATGTTCATAACAACAAGCCAAACTCATCAAAAGAACACTAAAAACAACAGCTTAACACAAGGGATTACTAATTCAACACATTCATGCCATTACACATGCTCAAAAACCTTCAAACTGGCCAAAACGAACAATGTTCATAACAACAAGCCAAACTCATCAAAAGAACACTAAAACAACAGCTTAACGCATTCATGCCATTACATATGCTCAAAAACGTTCAAACTCGCCAAAACAAACACTTTTCATAACAAAAAGCCAAACTCATCAAAAGAAAACTAAAACAACAGCTTAACGCATTCATGCCATTACACATGCTCAAAAACGTTCAAACTCGCCAAAACAAACACTTTTCATAACAACAAGCCAAACTCATCAAAAGAACACTAAAACAACAGCTTAACGCATACATGCCATTTAACATGCTCAAAAACCTTCAAACTCGCCAAAACAAACACTTTTCATAACAACAAGCCAAACTCATCAAAAGAACACTAAAACAACAGCTTAATGCATTCATGCCATTACATATGCTCAAAAACGTTCAAACTGGCCAAAACAAACACTTTTCATAACAACAAGCCAAACTCATCAAAAGAACACTAAAACATCATCTTTACACAAGGGATTACCTATTCAACACATTCATGCCATTACACATGCTAAAAAACCTTCAAACTGGCGAAAACGAACAATGTTCATAACAACAAGCCAAACTCATCAAAAGAACACTAAAACAACAGCTTAACGCATTCATGCCATTACACATGCTCAAAAACGTTCAAACACGCCAAAACAAACACTTTTCATAACAACAAGCCAAACTCATCAAAAGAACACTAAAACAACAGCTTAACACAAGGGATTACTAATTCAAAACATTCATGCCATTACACGTGCTAAAAAAACTTCAAACTGGCCAAAACGAACAATGTTCATAACAACAAGCCAAACTCATCAAAAGAACACTAAAACAACAGCTTAACGCATTCATGCCATTACACATGCTCAAAAACGTTCAAACTCGCCCAGACAAACACTTTTCATAACAACAAGCCAAACTCATCAAAAGAACACTAAAACAACAGCTTAACGCATTCATGCCATTACACATGCTCAAAAACGTTCAAACTCGCCAAAACCAACACTTTTCATAACAACAAGCCAAACTCATCAAAAGAACACTAAAACAACGGCTTAACATAAGGGATTACTAATTCAACACATTCATGCCATTACACATGCTCAAAAACGTTCAAACTCGCCAAAACAAACACTTTTCATAACAACAAGCCAAACTCATCAAAAGAACACTAAAACAACGGCTTAACACAAGGGATTACTAATTCAACACATTCATACCATTACACATGCTAAAAAACCTTCAAACTGGCCAAAACGAACAATGTTCATAACAACAAGCCAAACTCATCAAAAGAACACTAAAACAACAGCTTTTAACGCATTCATGCCATTACACATGATCAAAAACGTTCAAACTCGCCAAAACAAACACTTTTCATAACAACAAGCCAAACTCATCAAAAGAACACTAAAACAACAGCTTAACGCATTCATGCCATTACACATGCTCAAAAACGTTCAAACTCGCCAAAACCAACACTTTTCATAACAACAAGCCAAACTCATCAAAAGAACACTAAAACAACGGCTTATCACAAGGGATTACTAATTAAACACATTCATGCCATTACACATGCTCAAAAACGTTCAAACTCGCCAAAACAAACACTTTTCATAACAACAAGCCAAACTCATCAAAAGAACACTAAAACAACAGCTTAACACAAGGGATTACTAATTCAAAACATTCATGCCATTACACATGCTAAAAAACCTTCAAACTGGCCAAAACGAACAATGTTCATAACAACAAGCCAAACTCATCAAAAGAACACTAAAACAACAGCTTAACGCATTCATGCCATTACACATGCTCTAAAACGTTCAAACTCGCCAAAACAAACACTTTTCATAACAACAAGTCAAACTCATCAAAAGAACACTAAAACAACAGCTTAACACAAGGGATTACTAATTCAAAACATTCATGCCATTACACATGATCAAAAACGTTCAAACTCGACAAAACAAACACTTTTCATAACAACAAGCCAAACTCATCAAAAGAACACTAAAACAACGGCTTAACACAAGGGATTACTAATTCAACACATTCATGCCATTACACATGCTCAAAAACGTTCAAACTCGCCAAAACGAACACTTTTCATAACAACAAGCCAAACTCATCAAAAGAACACTAAAACAACAGCTTAACGCATTCATGCCATTACACATGCTCAAAAACGTTCAAATTCGCCAAAACAAACACTTTTCATAACAACAAGCCAAACTCATCAAAAGAACACTAAAACAACAGCTTAACACAAGGGATACTAATTCAACACATTCATGCCATTACACATGCTCAAAAACGTTCAAACTCGCCAAAACAAACACTTTTCATAACAACAAGCCAAACTCATCAAAAGAACACTAAAACAACAGCTTAACGCATTCATGCCATTACACATGCTCAAAAACGTTCAAACTGGCCAAAACAAACACTTTTCATAACAACAAGCCAAACTCATCAAAAGAAAACAAAAACAACAGCTTAACACAAGGGATTACTAATTCAACACATTCATGCAATTACACATGCTAAAACACGTTCAAACTCGCCAAAACGAACACTTTTCATAACAACAAGCCAAACTCATCAAAAGAACACTAAAACAACAGCTTAACGCATTCATGCCATTACACATGCTCAAAAACGTTCAAACTCGCCAAAACAAACACTTTTCATAACAACAAGCCAAACTCATCAAAAGAACACTTAAACATCATCTTAACGCATTCATGCCATTACACATGCTCAAAAACCTTCAAACTCGCCAAAACAACCACTTTTCATAACAACAAGCCAAACTCATCAAAAGAACACTAAAACAACGGCTTAACACAAGGGATTACTAATTCAACACATTCATTCCATTACACATGCTAAAAAACATTCAAACTGGCCAAAACGAACAATGTTCATAACAACAAGCCAAACTCATCAAAAGAACACTAAAACAACAGCTTAACGCATTCATGCCATTACACATGCTCAAAAACGATCAAACTCGCCAAAACAAACACTTTTCATAACAACAAGCCAAACTCATCAAAAGAACACTAAAACAACGGCTTATCACAAGGGATTACTAATTCAACACATTCATAACATTACCCATGCTAAAAAACCTTCAAACTGGCCAAAACGAACAATGTTCATAACAACAAGCCAAACTCATCAAAAGAACACTAAAACAACAGCTTAACGCATTCATGCCATTACACATGCTCAAAAACGTTCAAACTCGCCAAAACAAACACTTTTCATAACAACAAGCCAAACTCATCAAAAGAACACTAAAACAACGCTTACACAAGGATTACTAATTCAACACATTCATGCATTACCATCTGCTAAGAAACCTTCAAACTGGCCAAAACGAACAATGTTCATAACAACAAGCCAAACTCATCAAAAGAACACTAAAACAACAGCTTAACGCATTCATGCCATTACACATGCTCAAAAACGTTCAAACTCGCCAAAACAAACACTTTTCATAACAACAAGCCAAACTCATCAAAAGAACACTAAAACAACGGCTTAACACAAGGGATTACTAATTCAACACATTTATGCCATTACACATGCTAAAATACCTTCAAAATCGCCAAAACAAACACTTTTCATAACAACAAGCCAAACTCATCAAAAGAACACTAAAACAACAGCTTAACGCATTCACGCCATTACACATGCTCAAAAACCTTCAAACTCGCCAAAACAAACACTTTTCATAACAACAAGCCAAACTCATCAAAAGAACACTAAAACAACAGCTTAACGTATTCATGCCATTACACATGCTCAAAAACGTTCAAACTGGCCAAAACGAACAATTTTCATAACAACAAGCCAAACTCATCAAAAGAACACTAAAACAACATCTTAACACAAGGGATTACTAATTCAACAAATTCATGCCATTACACATGCTCAAAACCCTTCAAACTGGCCAAAACGAACAATGTTCATAACAACTAGCCAACTCATCAAAAGAACACTAAGACAACAGCTTAACGCATTCATGCCATTACACATGCTCAAAAACGTTCAAACTCGCCAAAACAACCACTTTTCATAACAACAAGCCAAACTCATCAAAAGAACACTAAAACAACAGCTTAACCATTCATGCCATTACACATGCTCAAAAACCTTCAAACTGGCCAAAACGAACAATGTT